CTTCATAAACCGTGAGGCACAATTAAATTTAGGAGGTGTCACTACTGAAATAAAAGGTAATTAAACATTTCTTTATTCAATAAGAGATGTCCAGATTATAGTATCACCACACGGATGTGTTAGCCTGAGCTTGGGTCACCAAGTGAAATACAAGTAAATACAGGTAAAATTCCAACATATTCTGGGCAGTTTTATCTTACTGACTGTCAGTACTGTGCAATAAATGACAACCACCTGTAATGATCCCCACTGTGTAGGTGAGAAGACAAACACTCTCAGAGGTAAGATAATTAGCCCAGAGTCGCACAAAGAGTACAGATGAAATATAAATATAACCCATGAATTAACTAATTCCTCACCCTCATTTTATTTTTTTTTATTTTTTTATTTTTTTATTTGAGAGAGAGAGAGAGCATGCACATGCGAGTGGGGGAGGGGCAGCGAGAGAGCATCCCAGGCAGGCTCCATGCTCACATGGAGCTTGATGTGGGGCTTGATCTCATCACCCTGGAATCATGACTTGAGCTGAAATCGAAAAGTCGGACGCTCAACCAACCGAGCCACTCGGGAGCCCCACTTGCCTTCATTTTAATTGACATGAACTTGTACACAGAGCTACAAAAAAAAGCATGTAGATGTTGTTGAGATTTCTGACAAATGAAAAACTTCTACTGAGTTTTTAATACAGTTCAAAATCTAACTTAACCTAGAATGCAATTGTACTAGGTGTTGTGAGGAGTATACCAAAGGGTACAAAATATGGTCCCCTTTGTAAGGATTAATTAGATTTACTGTGAGCTTTCACTTACATTGATGTCACTGACATATCACAACCAGGATAGGCCTGAGATGGGCATATGTGGTCGGACCCATTTTAAGGATTCTTTGAATTGGAGGGAATAAACAGCTTTGTGTGTGGACGGTTTTTGCATAAAAGGTGGAGTCACTTTTTCAAAATGAGGAGTGGAAAGGACACAGAGGATAGGGTGGTTGGAGATTGGAAGAGCGACATATCAGGGACCAGCCGGAGGGCCAAGCTAATGCCAAGTAAATTCGACAAGGTTTGCCAAGTGCCAAACCAAGGACAGCTCATATTTTACATGCAGGGAGGCTCTCAAACACATTTTACACGTTAAATGTCCCAGGAGCTCATCTTCTTTCTTCACCTCACCCTAAAAACCCATTTACCCGGAATTTGAGATAACAAACATCAATCAATCCACCAGGCATTTCCTGAATGTACAAGTAGCCGCAGTTAATGAGGTTCATGAAAAACCTCAGCTGGAGAGCATTTCATTAACATCTGTCACAACTTATCAGCTCGGCCTATGCAAACATTATGTATTGCAATTGTGTATTGGGAAGGAAACAGTCCCTTTTCTCCTAGCCTTCCCTTTCCTCTGTGACATACAGGCACTGCCATCACGTGGCCATAGAGGGCACAGCCATGCCATTCTGGACAAGTGCTACACAAATGTCCCCTTAAGTAGAATGACTCAAGTGTAGTAGATTAAGGAATGTAAAGGCAAGTCTCAAGTTAAACAAAAGACATATGCAAGCAGTCCTAGAAAGAGTCTGTAAGTGTGATGAGCTTCTGTGGCTGGCGTACCAACACCTACTTAACCTGCAAATTTACCATACAACACTATTCCAACCATGCCCTCACAGCCGTTTGTAACCAGTCTTCTGCCACAGCAGGCATGGGGTTCCAGATTAGGATGGCATCTTGCCTTGCTCTGGAACAACGTGGTTCCCACCCCTCCCCAGGGGTCTTGAACTGAACAATTAGCTAATGGACATGTTATCAGTTACACGGGTCCCGAAGTGGCTTCTGTGCCATTAGTGGGGCCTATGCTCCTAGACACTCCTCAACTCTATGGTAACTAAGAACAAAAAGTGTTCCTAAAAGTCTCCACTGTCATTTATCAGACTTTCTGAGCACCTCTTAGGTGCCTGTTCACCCTGTGCTGGGTGCTGGAAATACATACCATAGAACCATAGAACCTGGTTCATGGTTCATAGAATCTGGAACCATAGAACATGGTTTCCACCCTTTAGGAAGTCACAGTCCAGTGGGAGAAATAAATACCTAAGTCAAAGTTTACAGTATAATGTCATAAGTGCCATGTGAGAGACAATGATAGTGTTATAAAGTGAAGGCTATGTACTGGGGCTCGCTCTTTCTTTCTTTCTTTCTTTCTTTCTTTTCCTTCTTTTTTTTTTTTTTTTTTTTTTTTAAGTAGGCTTCATGCCCAGCACAGAGCCCATCATGGGGCCTGAACTCATGACCATGAGATCAAGACCTGAGCTGAGATCAAGAGTCAGACACTTAACCAACTGAGCCACCCAGGTGCCCCTGGGTATAGTCCTGGTTATGTGCCAGGTGCTATTTTAACTGCTTACAAACATCAACACATTCATCATCATATGAGATAGGTACTATTATTGTCCAGTTTTTACAGATGAGGATCTGAGAGGTTGAGTTGCAGGTATGGAATCTGAACCCAGTCACTCTGCAATGATGAGCAGGTAAGAAAATCACAACTCTATCACACAGGTCTGTTGTGCCTGTTTGACAGGCCCCTGAGGCTCTGTGCCTTCCCACTGTGATATGTTTCACGATGCCATAGAAGCAGAGGAGATTCATCTAACTCAGACCAGGGGTTAGAGATGGCTTTCCAGAGGGGATAACTCTTGAGATGTGTCAGAAGTATGAGGTGGAGACAACTAGTCTGTGCAGAAAGAAGATCATTTGCCAAGATACAAATGCATTAAGGACAGGATAGAATTGGGAGCTATACATGATTCGCTAGGACCGGAAGAGACAGCAGGGTGAATGATAGGAGAGAACGCTACAAAAAGCAGGCAGGAGGAATACTAAGTCCCATTGGAGGTTACAGATTTATTTTAAGTATGAAGTGATGGCATCAGATGTGGAGATGGCTTGGTGGGAGGCCAGATCATTAGGTGGACTAATTAGGGGTCATCACAATAACCAAGGCAATAAGTCTCAATTACAGCACTGGCCCTTGGGATAGAGAAGAAAAATGCGTATGTTTATTTGTATAGGTGTTTGTCTTCATTGTTCATTAGCCCTGGACATCCCATCACCTGTAGGATAAAGCCCAAACCCTTTTGATGGCAAACAAGACCTGGTTCCATCTGGACCGAACCTCTCTTTTTAGCAGGGAGCTTCCCTCAGGGAGTGTGGGCAGGTGGCCCCAGTACATCGGCCTGTTTGCCTCACAGGCTGTGAGCCTGACTCTGCCTCTCCAAAGGCTATTTCTCGGGCCACTCAGATGCCCTCTTCTTTGTCCTCTTGGAAAACTGTCATTCATTCAAAACCCATCTCAAATGTCACCTCTTTGACTTAACAAACACTAGGACGCCTGGGGGGCTCAGTTGGTTAAGTGTCCCACTGCGGCTTAGGTCATGATCTTACGGTTCATGAGTTTGAGCCCTGCATCGGGCTCTGTGCTGACAGCTCGGAGCCTGGATCCTGCTTCAGATTCTGTGTCTCCCTCTCTCCCTGCCCCTCCCTTGCTCACACTCTGTCTCTCTCTCTCAAAAATAAAGAAACATTAACAAAATAAAAAACAAAACACTGATTGAGCATCTTTTAGTGGACATCCTCTTGGTAGGAGATGCTTGGATGACACACAAGAAGGGCTGGGGGAGTCTCCCAATATGGCCATTGGGTGAATTCAACTGCAGGATCCCCTTCCTTCTCTTATTGACCCTCTCCATTCCACATCCATCTTCTCCCAGGGCTTCCCGGACTTTAGCATGTGTATGGATCCCCTGAAGATCTTGCTAAAAAGGCAGATCAAATTCAGCAGTTCTGGGTTCGTGCCTGAAATTCTGCATTTCTAGCAAGACCCCAGCTGATGTTGATGCTGGACTGCAGACTGCATTTGAGTAGCAAGGCTTATACATTTTCTTAGTTTTGTCTGATGAAAAAGCAATCAAGGCGATAATTTTTATTTCTCTCCGCTGGACTCTGTTGAGGTAAAATTTACATATAGGGAAATGCACACAGGTTTTGGCAAATGTATACCCCCCCTGCGACCTATACCTCAATCAAGAACATCCACAACATTGCCAGAAAGTTCCTTTGTTCCCTTTCCATTTAATCTTCCAAATACAGATGTTTCTACAGGGACCCAAAATGATGCAGTCTAAGGAAATAGCTTTTTGATTCAGGAGGCTTGCTCACAGGATAAATTTAAAGAGGAACAGGAAAAACCGCACATCTTTCAGGCCATCCTACATAAAAATTATACACTACTGGTCCAACTAATAATAATTTGAGCTATTATCTTAGTGTCTTTGTTCATTTTTCAATAAATAACTCCACATACCTGGTCCTGTGTTTTGGATGGCCTCGCAGGGCGGACATACTGGCCCTGTGCTCAGGAAGCAAGCTCACCTCTCGTAGGGGAAACAGACAAGGAATCTGGGAGCTTCCTGGAAGAGCAAATTCTGGGATGTGGGGCTTTCCTGGCTGAGGCAGGGAAGGCTGGAGAGGAGGAGACAAAGGACACGAGTCATCCATGAACCTCACTGCACACGTCTCACTCATGCACGGCACTTTGCCAAACCTCCTTACGGATCTCATCTCTTCGCAATGGCCCTATGACGAGACAGGTAGCACTATCCCCCTCTTACAGACATGAAAACTGAAGCTTGGAGAGGTTGTCTTACAGCCACAAGTTAGTAAGTTGCAAAGTGAGGTCTGTAGCCCCCTGGAAGTGCTTGTGCACGTCGAGGCCAGCTAGGTGGCAGGAATCACAGGGGTGCTCCGCCTAGGATCCCAGACACTCACCCCTGCATGAACGGTAGGCCTAGCTGGCAGGAGCAAGCCTCTTGTATCCTTGACAACCCGCTCCCTCCTGGGAGGCGAATCTTGGGCCTGGCACCGTCCCCTCTGGTGGCATCCCCTGTGTGAGACCCCCCCCAGAAAGGCTGTTCTAATTGCAGCGCACCCTCACTTCCTTTAGTCTTTTAGCCCCCTGCTTCCTGCTCCTGCACCATGAAAATCCTGCTTTGTGACCTCCTGCTGCTCAGCCTCTTCTCCAGCGTGTCCAGCAGCTGCCAGAAGGACTGTCTGACCTGCAGAGAGAAGCTCCGCCCAGCTCTTGACAGCTTCAGCCTTGAGGTAGGCCATGGAATGCCCTCGTCTTCTTCTCCCTCCTTCCTCCAACCCGGAATGAGAAATTAAGGCCTTGCCCAGGGGGCATGTGACTCACCTGGTGCCACGTGGTCGATAGGAAACAGATGCTGACTTTAGCATCTTCTAAATGCAAACTCTGTCTTCTTTCCCCTTTTCCACTTCAAATAAAGACCTGCCTGTGCTGCCATTTTGCCAATAATTCCCATTATTAAATAATGCATACTCATTTTAGAGAATTTGGCAAATTCAGAGAAGTGTAACAGAAGAACGTTACTTTAATCCCCCCTGTCAGAGAAAGAGTCCTAGTTTTTCACTTGCTACATTATACCAGGATAATTTCCTCATGTTATTAAACATGATTTTAAGTTCTTTCTTCCTAGGAATACAGTATAATTTGTTTAACTACTCCCCTCCTGTTGAACATGTACGTTGCCCTCCATTTTTGATATTGCAGATAATTCTACAGTGAATACCCAAATGCTGTCTTATATTTTAAATTTTGTTTATATTTTAAATTTTGTTTTGGTTTTTGGTTTTTCTAGTTTTTTTTTTTTTAATGTTTTATTTATTTGTGAGAGAGAGAGAGAGAGAGACAGTGCAAGCAGGGGAGAGGCAGAGAGAGAGGGAGACATGGAATCGGAAGCAGGCTCCAGGCATTGAGTTGTCAGCACAGAGCCCGATGCGGGGTTCAAACTCACAAGCCATGAGATCATGACCAGAGCCGAAGTTGAACACTTAACCGACTGAGCCACCCAGGAGCCCCTATATTTTAAATTTTTAATTTGGGTTTCTAATCTGGCATTAAATTTCTTTTCCTTAAATAAACTGCTTTGTCAACTGCTTTCATGTCAGCCTAAAGAGTTATTCCTCTATTAAATCCAATATAACTCAATCATTTTTTCTTTGTAGTCAAACTTCTTTCAAAAGATGTCATAATTCAAACTCCTCAACCGTTAAAAACAACCAAAAGTACTGCTCCTTAAGGCGAGTGTACAAATATAGAACACATATTTACATTGGGCTAGCTCACTAATGATGAGCAGACACAGGCCCTACAGACCCAAACAGCAAGCTCTTCCCTCGCCTGCTCAGTGGGTTTCTACAGCATCATGAAGAGCATCCCCAGATGACTCATCCAAAGTTGGCCTGTCCTCATTCATCCATTTTGGTTTTCTGTATGCTGAGCACAGGGCCAGGCCAACGGGTCCAGGAAGCAGATGGATGGAGTCTGCAACCAGTGGGAGAGAAGATCCCACAATCCCTTCAAGAGGGCTTAACTACTGGATGCTGGGGAAGCACAGAGAGTGGACCCCAACCCAGACTAGAAGGACAGACAGGACTCTTGAAGGAACTGAAGTCTCTAAGGAAACCTAAAGAATGGGAGCGAAGAGGCAGAGAGGGTCCCAGGTGATAGAGAGAGTGGGGAGTACACGTTCAAATGCCTGTGCCAGAGGGAAGTGGCATTTATGGAACTGAGAAAAGCTGAGTTTGGCTGGAACACAGAAGGCCCACAGGCTTTTTCCGTGCAGCCCAGAGAGGCTTAAAAGCTCATCTAAAAAAGCACTTTGCCCTAGTCTTAGTAAGGAGAGCGGCCAACTTGGTTTACATGTAAACCAATGATGAGTTGATTAGGCAATAATCTGATCATCTCCACACTGCTAAATTCTCCATCTGCAGCCTAGACAAGACTGAAAGTTATGCACAAAGCTTTCATGGCAATGCTTTGTTTTCCCCCATCAAAGAAAGCATTAGGACTTGAACAGATATCTGTACACCCAGAGAGTAATCTACACTTGCAGCCCTCACCCCTTTGGGCTGCATCCCTTCTTATCTGCTCTCTCAGATGTCTGGAGCCAATTTGCAGGTTTCCTCCTCCCTGTCCTCTCCCAGTCAACTCGGTGGACTCGCCTGGTTCTCTTCCCCATTCCGATTCATTTTTTATTACCTCCTGGTGGGTTCCTGTTCCCCTCCCCACCCTCTAAACCTAAGTGATCAAGATTCAGGAATTCTTTCCTCCCCATACTCTCTCCTTCTGAGATGCCATCCCTGGACCCCAGGCCTTCAGTTCTCCCCAGGCTGTAGGGGACTCCCAAAGGTACACGCCTCACCTCCTCTCTGCTGGGCTCAATCACTTTTCATAGTTCCTGGGAAATCCCACTTCCCCTTCCCGGCCTTGCTAAGGCTTCAGGAACTTGCCCCACCATCTGGCACATGCCTCTCCCTTCATCTTAATCCAATACCCCTACTTCAAAACTCAGATTAAATTTCACCTGTGAGAACACTGTGCTGATTCTCCACCTGCCCCCAAGAGAGCCAGCCCCTCACTCCTTTGTCTTCTGACAGTTATCCGTATCTGCTACTCTCTCACCATAATGTGTGAGCTTCCTCTTCTGATTGTCCTGGGCATCCCCAGCATGCAGCACTGAGCGTGGCACAGAGCAGTACTCAATAAACATGTCCCATGGAAACTGTAAAATTGCAAGACCCTTAGTCTCCTAATAGGTCCATCCACTGCAGACGCTGCCGTGTTTTCACATTGGTGTCTTTCAAAGCCATTAAAGAATTTGTTTTCATTCCTCCATAGCATCTTAAATCTCTGGGGTCCTGAAAACGCTGTTAGACACTTCTTTGAAACAAGTTAAAATATGGCCAGTTACAGCCTCATGGTTGAGGGATAAATGCTTCAAAGTGCCTGCTGACCTTCAGAGGACCTGACTGCCTGGCTGTTTTGCCTCTAGTTTGTATTCACTTTTAACCTATTTTTAAACGTTTGATGAAATGCCTAGAATGTTGGCAACCACACCTCATTTCCAAATCTTGCAACCTTTTTCCACTCTGTGAATTATGGGGGTTGGGGGGAACTTAGATATTTCAGCAAGGGTCACCTTCCCAATCCCTCCACTAAGTTATGTATTACTGAGCGATTCCTAGGACCCCCTAAGTTCTTGGTTTTATCAAGAAGTTCTGCATTTCTCATTCCAGGTCAATGGTCCAAGTATGGCTGGCTTTTTGTTAGACTATAATTTTGGTCAGTAAATGACTCATACACTCAAACCCATTGCAATATCTTGGGCTCCTTCCACCTAATTATGAATGGCACTTACCCCCTCAGCTAAAGTAGAAAAAACAAGATTCGCTGAGTTGTTTTAAAGACAAAGGAGAAAGTAACCCTCAAGGTCTGGGGAAATTTATCTAAAACTCCCTGGAACTTGATTAATAGCAAAAGAAACTAACTTCTCGTAGTGCTTTGTATCTTCATTACACAAAAACTCTTCCTAGTTAATTTGCAGTAAGAGTTCCTAGCATGTTTTTCTTTTGCACTATTCATCTGCTTGCCAATTCGTGTTAGCCCTCAGACATTCTAGAACAACCTCCTAAAACAAATAGCTCCCAAATGTCTCTTGGTCAGAGGCGATTTGATTCTTTAGTGGCAGACGCTTGACAATATCAATGAGCTTCCTCGTTTCCTTCCAGTGGGCTCATGTGCCTATTTCCCTAATGTTTGATCTCAGATGTCCAAATGGCCCTTTGCTCAGTTTCCCCACAAACCCAGCTTTACAGATCAATTTGGCACCAGTCTGAAACTTTCCAGATGCTCATCCACACTCTGGCTTAATATAGAAATGTCATCAGTGTGGGCTGCGAAAATGTGTCCAGCTCACTTAAGAGGCCATTATCCAATCTCTGGAAAGAGGCTGGTGGGTCCCTTAGACCAGAGTATTAGGCATTAAGCTCATATGCCCATCTGGCGCCACAAATGCTGTTGTGAATTTGGATCCTCCACATTTGCCCCAAACCTTCTCCTAAATCAAGAGTTGAGATGATTTTGTTAGTACCTAATGCATCTAACAGTATGTTGAGTCTCTGTACAACCTATGCATCTGGTTTGATCATAGAATTGCATTTTCTCTGATTGACACACAATCTAATTACCATCTGGGCTTAGCAACCCAGGGGCTCACAGAAGATCTAATAGCCTCTAGGTTTAACAACCTCCACCTGTTCTTGTAAACTGAAGGCACAGAACAGTTCAACAAGCATTTGGGGCTCCTATACTGTGAGGATTGGACCAAGTCCGCTCACAGTCCTTGTTGGTGCCAAAATTTGACACTTCTGCTGACTTTCCCAATACTATTAATGCTTTTCCTTTTATCCTGGAAGGTAGGATTCCTCAGGCTCACCACTGTGGACATTTTAAGTTGGAGAATTATTTGTCATGTGGGGCTGTCCTGTAGGATGTCTACCAGCATCCCTGACCTCTACTCATGGGATAGCAGTAGCATCCCCCCCACCCCCACCCACCGTATGACAACCAAAAATGTCTCCAGATATTGCCAAATAGCTCCTGGGGACAAAATTGTCCCCAGAGACACCCACTGCTATACAGTAATAACCCAATAGGATTTTGATCTGAAAGAACATCCTACAAATTGGTTCTACCTACCTAGTTTTATTCAAAATATTTCAGGAGCAGGCTAAATACAGACCCCAGTAACCCTTTCTCTGAAGGAGACTCTGACCACTTCCATGATGACACCTTCCTCAGAACAAGTTCCAAAGCAGGATTTCTCACAGTCCAGCCTCCAAATCACCTGTTTGTTAAAAACGCAGATTCTTGGGCCCCACCCTTGGCTTACTAATCAGTGTCTCCAGGGGTGTAGTTTAAGAATTTACATTCTAGGGGCACCTGGATGGCTTAGTTGGTTAACTGTCCGACTCCAGTTCAGGTCATGATCTCGTAGTTCATGAGTTGGGCTCAGGTCATGACTTCGCGGTTCCCAAGTTCGAGCACCACATCAGACTCTGTGCTGACAGCTCAGATCCGGGAGCTTGCTTTGGATTCTGTGTCTCCTTCTGTCTCTGTCCCTCCTCTGCTCACACTCTGTCTCTCTCTCTCTCTTTCAAAAATAAATAAAAACATTAAAAAAAAAGATTTTGGATTCTAACAAACCAGTAGCAATTCTTAAAGAACACTCAAGTTTGCAGGTACCATTGTTTTAAACTCTGCTATCCCTACCTATGAAAGTTGTCTATCATTCCTTCATACCCAGTGACATTGTGGGTGTGAAAAAGTTGGCACTGATGATATTCGTTCTGTCAGCATCTCTGAGGAAAATCTAAATGGCAAAGACATGCTCAGAAAGCCCACGACTTGTGTATCAACAGGGACCCCTGTCACCACCTATGGCTAGCAGGGGGCCGTCGGGGGAGGGCTTGGCAAAGGGTGCACCTTGGAAACCTTATCAGTGAAGAGGAGTGGCACTCCCACTGGATACTGTCTCTTTCCCTACTCTGACCCAACAGAAAATGAGCAATTTTCCCATTAGAACGTTACCTTTGGTCTCACAAGATCCTTACTCTTGCATTAATTTCCACCAACTTGTATTGCAAGCACACAGAGCTCCTGGGCTGGAACTCAAGACATTTGGTTTCTTGTTCAGGTGATACGTTGTCTAACAGTATAGTTTTGGACACATTACCGAATCTCATCATAACATGCAAACATGGACTACGTCAGTGGTTTCCAAACCCAGGCAGATATCAGAATTACCTGAGCTTTGTAAAAGTTAAGTTTTTTTTTTAATGTTTATTTATTTTTGATAGAGAGAGACACACACAGAGTGTGAGTGGGGGAGGGGCAGAGAGAGAGGGAGACACAGAATCTGAAGCAGGCTCCAGGCTCTGAGCTGTCAGCACAGAGCCTGACATGAGGCTTGAACTCACGTACGGTAAGATCATGATCTGAGCCAAAGTCGGACACTCAACCGACTAAGCCACCCAGGCGCCCCTGTAAAAGTTAAGTTTTAAATGCCGGTGCTATTCCTCAGGAATTTAACTGGCTTTTGAATTCTGTCTTTTTTATTTTTTTATTTTTTATTATTTTTTTTTTTTTTAATTTTTTTTCAACGTTTATTTATTTTTGGGACAGAGAGAGACAGAACATGAACGGGAGAGGGGCAGAGAGACAGGGAGACACAGAATCGGAAACAGGCTCCAGGCTCTGAGCCATCAGCCCAGAGCCTGACGCGGGGCTCAAACTCACGGACCGCGAGATCGTGACCTGGCTGAAGTCGGACGCTTAACCGACTGCGCCACCCAGGCGCCCCAAATTCTGTCTTTTTTAAAGTTGAGATGATTTGGGGGTGCCTAGGAGGCTGTGGGTTGGGCGTCCAACTTCAGCTCAGGTCAGGATCTTGCAGTTCATGAGTTTGAGCCCTGCGTAGGGCTCTGTGCTGACAGAGCACAACTCAGAGCCTGGAGCCTGCTTCAGATTCTGTGTCTCCCTCTATCTGTCCCTCCCCCTCCCCCCCTCTCAAAAATAAACATTTAAAAAATATTTTTAAAGTTGAGATGATTTCGATTCACACCCAGACCAAGCAGAAGGGCAGACTTAGGGTAGTGAAAGTCTATTGGATGATTAAAAGTAATACTGGATGATTAAATCCACCTGCTAGTAAGAGAGACCTAAAGTAACAGTGGCTCAAATAAGACAGAGATTTGATTCCCTATGCAGAAGTTGGGAGGTGGGCAATACAGTGTTGGTATTGTGTAGCTCCTCCACATCACCCATGTCCCAGGCTCCTTCCCTTTCTGCTTTATCTGTATATGGCTGCCGCCCTCACATGGCTTCCATACCCTGAGTCACCTCATGGCTTCAAGATGGCCACTGGAGCACCAGCCAAAATGTCCACATTCTAAGCAGGAGGCTGGAAGAAGGGGAAGAAGAAGATTAAAAAAGGATGCTTTTCTCTGATAAGTCAGCCCCCTACTTTCCTCAGAAGCCTCACTTGGTCACTGCCATTTATATGTCATTGGCCACCTCTGGCTACAAAGGAGACTGAGAAACATACATGAGGCCTTGGGCAGGACAAGTGTCCTGTTAGTAAAGGTATCCAATGCGCATTGGCAGTCTCTGCCCCAGAAGGGAAGGTAGGCTTCATTCTTTACAAATTGTGTTTTAAGTGCTAGTCAGACACTTTGGTGGAGATACCAGACAGGGATCAGAGAAGTGTCTGGAGTTCGATAGATATCAGATGCTGGACATATAAACCTGGGATGCCCTAGATGAAATGACCATGATCACAGAAATGAACAGTCACCAAGAGGTAGATTATAGAGGTGAGAAGAAAGAATCTTAAAGATAGAACACAGGAAGAAGGTGCATAGTCTGAGAGGTGAGTGCAATGTCAGAGAATTTGGGGGAGGGTGTGGTGCACATTGCCAAATGCTGCAAAGTCAGAGAGAATGAGGGCTAATTGGATCTGGTGACCAGAATTCACTGGTGGTCCTGAAGAAGGCAGTTAGTGGAAGATGAGGGTGGGAAGCAGATTTCAAGGACATGAGAAAAAAATTGAAGATGCTGAGATAGAAGCATGAGTGCAGACCACATCTTGGAGAAGCCTGGTGAGGACAAAAGAGAGTCAGGGTCAGGGGTGGCAAGGGGTTGCGAGAGAAGTAGGATTGGAGGAGACATTTTCTAGGGTTTGGTGGAATGGCCATAAGGTCTGTGATATAGCTGCATGCACATCTAACTCCTCGGTTAGGGGTCAGGTTGGAAACCTTGCTCGTATTGGCATATCTGTGCCTCTCTGAACACCGGGGCGAGGGTTTTGCTCCCCAGATAGGGGGTACTGGGCACACACACCAGTCTTCTGATGTCCTGCAGCTGTCCAAAGAGAAGCTGCAGTGGGATTTTCACAGAGAAGCATTCAAAGTGAAGCCAAAACAGCAAACAGTAAGAAAAATTGGAGGTAGACGCTTCCAGAAGACCCAATCAGAGACAGGAATGTGGGAGGCAAGGCCAAGGCCAGGATCAGTTAGGAGGGACGTGGAAACAGCATGGTCAAGCTGTTGGTCTAGAGTAGAAGTGGGAGACGCCTGGAGAGACAGAGCAGTGCCGGAAGTTCCCAGGGGCCTGGCAAGTCTAAAAGATTGCATCTGATGGCCCCTCTTCCCCACCTGGAACCCAATTGCCCAACCTACCTACATCCCAAAGGGTCTTGACCCTCATTCTCTAGAGCTGATGCACAGATAGTATAACTAGAGTATGTGGGATAAAAAATGAACACCAGGGTTCATCTTAACACGGTGGCCTTAAAATAGCCTTGCAGATTTCAGCACATGCTTTGACATCCCCAGTTTTTTAAGCCAATCCAACCTCTCCCAAGCCAAAAAGAGAACAAAATAAAATTCTTCTTTGTGGGTGCCATGAGTTGTGTCTGGCTTCAAAAACTCAACGAGGGGCACCTGGGTGGCGCAGTTGGTTAAGCGTCCGACTTCAGCCAGGTCACGATCTCGCGATCCGTGAGTTCGAGCCCCGCGTCAAGCTCTGGGCTGATGGCTCGGAGCCTGGAGCCTGTTTCCGATTCTGTGTCTCCCTCTCTCTCTGCCCCTCCCCCGTTCATGCTCTGTCTCTGTCTGTCCCAAAAATAAATAAAAATGTTGAAAATTTAAAAAAAAAAAAACTCATTCTGCATTAACTTTCTGTGTCACCTGGGACAAATTAATCTCACCTCTTTGAGTCCCAGGTTTCTTCCTTTGTGACATGACGGAGCTTGGCCAGATCGTTTTCTGTTTCTTTATAACTTGGAAATTCTGTGAACCAAAGTACTGAATGGTGACTTAATAAAGAGATGCTTCTGAAGCATTTGTATTGGTATCGATGTAAATTTTGTATACAATAAAAAGACTACTGGCACACCTGGGTGGCTCAGTCAGTTAAGCGTCCGACTTCGGCTCAGATCATGATCTCACAGTTCGTGGGTTTGAGTCCCACATCGGGCTTTGTGCTGACAGTGCAGAACCTGGAGCCTGCTTAGGATTTTCTCTCTCTCTCTTTCTCTCTCTCTCTCCTCTCTCCTCTCTCTCTCTCTCTCTCTCTGCCTCCCACTCATGCTCTCTGTCTCTCAAAAATGAATAACATTAAAAAAAAAGAAAAAGACTCTTTGGACTAATATAATAGGCATTCCTGGTCCTCCTCCCTTCTCCCACCTCTGTCTTTGCAGGTGTGCATCCTTGAGTGTGAAGGGAAGGTCTTCAGCAGCCCTCTCTGGACTCCATGCACCAAGGTCATGGCCAGGGGCTCCTGGCAGCTCAGCCCTGCTGACCCAGAGCACGTGGCAGCTGCCCTTTACCAGCCAAGCGCCTCCTCCGAGATACAACTGAAGCGAATGCCTCGCATCAGGAGCCTAATCCAAGCCCAGAAAGGGACAGAGCCTGGCATGGATGAGACTGGAGAAATGGAGCAGAAGCAGCTGCAAAAGAGGTTTGGGGGCTTCACCGGGGCCCGGAAGTCGGCCCGGAAGTTGGCCAACCAGAAGCGGTTCAGTGAGTTCATGAGGCAGTACCTGGTCCTGAGCTTGCAGTCCAGCCAGCGCCGGCGCACTCTGCATCAGAATGGTAATGTGTAGCCGGAAGGGGAGCCCCTCCCAGCTGCACCATCCACTTCAACCCATGAGTGAGTTGGGCACGAATGAGCTGGGGGCCAAAGGAAACCTTATATACCCAACTGTCTTAGCCTTCCTCCTGGGCCTGGAAGCACATTAGCCCCCAGCCACATACACACACCCCACACCACCTCAAGGTGTTCAGCCTCTGGGAGGGGGGGGGGGAGTCAATTCACCTCCCTGCCTCCTACCCACCCTTTCTCTAGGGAGCAAAGATTTTCCTGGGATTACTCCTTAAGGCTGACCACTGCCATTTAAAGATTGGTTACCATGGGGATAATAGTAGCATGTTAAGATAACTAATTCCTCTATAGCTCTCCAGCAGCTCAGTTACTATGGGGACAGTTAAGTGGACCAATCCTCCTATCCGGTTGCCATAACAACCATTCAATTCACCTTTCCTCATAGACTATCTCTAAGAACCAATAGCTAGACCTACCTTTAGCTATCCGCTGCCTGATTTCTGTGGCTGTGCTGTTGCTATTTCACCTTCAGAGACAGCTTAGCTATCTCCTCCTCTACCCCCTGTATCTCAAGGTGCCTGGATTCCACAGAAAGCACTACACTTTCCCACTCTCCCCCATCAAGGAGTTCTTGTTAGGACCAGGAGTTACACTTTCTGCTTTTCTTTCTTCCACTTGTCATCTGTCCATACTGCCACCTTGCCAGAGATGGACTGATTTGTTGATGTCAATGGCATCATTACTGAGCAAGCCTTTGAGGATTTGGCCCAACTGACCCAGTAGTTTTAGAACAGAGACTAAGAGATCATCATCTTTCCTCACTTTCTTCCCAGAGGCCATTTTTGTTTTATTTTGTTTGCTTGCTTGCTTTTATTCCTCTCTCCGTCCTGGCCATTACTCCCATGGGAATGCTTATACAGGTACTAAAATACATATCAGATAATAAACATCAAAAACCCTAGTTTATTGCCCAGTCATTACAAACTCCACTTTCCTCAGCCCATCAACCTGTACATAACTTTGAATAGCATAGGAAACTAGCACAGTGGAATTTTCTGAAAATCTAAGAAAATCCCACCCATCAAGCATATGTGCCTTAATTCATATTTGGGATTCTGATTATCGTCAGAGCCTCATACCTCTTCTCTAACAGTCTAGAAACTTACCCTAATGGAAAGAATTAACCAGTTGGTCAAAAACATTCCTCAAACATTACCCAAGTTGGGGGGGTCTTCCCTGACTCAGAAGCAGAAAACAAAAAAAATGTCTATATGTGCTGTTTTGTTTTGCTTCCTGTATGTCAAAGGTAGGCAGATCATTAATAATCTTGATTCAAATGGGGCGCCTGGGTGGCTCAGTCGGTTAAGCGTCCAACTTGAGTTCAGGTCGTGATCTCACAGTTTCTGAGTAACAGCCCCATGTTGGGCTCTGTACTGACAGCTCAGAGCCTGGAGTCTGCTTCAGATTCTGTGTCTCCCTCTCTCTCTCTCCCTCTCCCATTCCTTCTCTGTCTCTCAAAAGTAAATAAATGTTAATAATCTTCATTCAAAGTATATTAATACAAATGTTAATCTTTGGCACCCACACTTCAGCATGGAGGCAGCCCACATAGCTCCTTGCAGGTAATCTGGTTTGCAACAGGCCCATTGCCAAATAGAGACATATGTATTAAGTTGTGAGGAGAAGCCTGCCCTGTATATTTTAGCAGAATGACTAATTTCCGAAGGCCCTGAATTAACCCACGCCATTTTTGAAGTCATACTCTTGGATCCTTAACCGACACCCTATTTCTTCCTAAGCCATATTTGCACATTACCTAACTCAGTATATCCTTCAGAAGTGGCATGGATTGGATTCTTTCAAATCTCAGACATTTATTCTTCTTTAAAGTGGCTCTTAAGGGACACTGAGGCTCTTGTCTAATTCTGAACCACAACCGTTTTCTTTACCTAAAGACAGTTTAAAATCAATTACATTAGCAGGAATCAATTTATTTAAAAACAGAACAAAAAGAAATGATTTCAGCCCCTATTCAGGCAACTGATTTTCCTAATTTTCTATTAAGCTTCCCGCTGAGAGGCACTGAAACATAACTGGCAACTAGCCTCTGTCTGCTGCTTTGCTCAAGATACGAAGTTCTTGATGGAACCATTGGAAACGTTAACCAGTTCATGTTGGGTATTATTGATTGCTCTCCTTCCTCTTACTGTAACGATCTCTGAATTTCCTTTTGGCACACATTCATGGTAGCTGAGTTCCGATATGGATACGTACTTATGAGTCCACAACAGGCAGCTTAAACCTTGTCTTCACTCACCCACACATAGCCCAGCCAGCCCTACACATGCCTGAGATTTCTCCATCTTGGGGGATCCTGTTGCCAGGGCTGTTCTGGACTTCTGAGATATCCAATACTAATCTAGACTTAGAAGGTTAGAGGAAGTAGGGCCACCTAACACCGAAATGGGATAAAGAGCCCTATTTAGAATGCGTAATGATGTGTTCGGAAAGAGGGACATGGCGGTCCAGTCCTAGACAGAACTGTGAAAAGGGGCATCTGCTTACCATCATTTCCCCTGTCCCCACACTACTATGTCTTATGCCCCCATGCCCTAACCGTTGTAGACAGTGGAAAGTGAGCAGATTCATTCATGGTGAGGAATTAGTGAAACTTGGTTTAAAGAGCCATAAATGAGAACACTATTTAGCCTCAAGAAATGAATTGAATTACTACATATGGATTCCAAATACTAGGGACAAGAGAGCTGTTTCTGGGCATGGGGCCTATGTTATGCCTTTCAAGTCCCAGCCCACAGACCTCCTCTTTATTCTGTGAGTCCTACCGGTAGACTCAAGGTGTCTAGAAGTTAGGGAACCCTACTTGCCGTTTTAGTGGCTATTTATTCCATTGATAAGCTTTGTATTGCCTCCCTTCTATTGCTCAGTTACCAGGACAAATAGGATTGAAAGGTCAGGAAAACTACAGAGTTTGCCATTTTAATCATTTCTGTCTCCCCAGGTGTCCGGGTGATCCCCAAAACAGCATGTCTCCAGCCCCAGACCTGCCGGCTGGGAATCGGGATTCCTTCTTCCCCAAGACACTGAGGCAAGCTTTGCCTCCAGGTCTCCACCCCAGGGTGGAGACCCTCCCAGTCTGTCTTTCCCTCCCCACTACCCCACCCCGCCCCCATGGCATGTTTCATGATAATCTTGTTGCTGCATCAGAGTGTATTTTTGTAATTCCTCCAGCTAACATATTGACAGCCTCATCTTTCCTTCTCACTTCCCTCTTTCCTCTTCCAGGGGTGGGTCAAAGGAACAGGAAATCAAACCCGGGGTTTTGACTTGTCACTGCCATAACTTGTTTGTAAAAGAGCTGTTCTTTCTGGCTGATTGTTTTAAACAGATATTTCTCCATTAAACTTCTACTCAGCAAACGGTTAATAAGTCGGTTGGCTGTATGTACATCTGAGGAGTCTGAGAAGCCCAGACTCCAAACACACCATCAGCGCTGCCTCTCTTGGGAAGGAGAAGCAAAAAGCACATGGCTCTGCTTTATATAAAGCACGACGGGCAAGAACACGGAGCATAAACACTCTGACTGCACTGCATCTCTAGCAAGTGCATGAATGGATGAGCGGGGAGGGGAGAGGCAGGGTGCTCAGAACCTCCCAGTGCCTGTCAACATCACCGTTGGGGAGGGTTGCTGGTGGAGACACAGAATCCACCCCGTTTCTCACTCAGAAGGAATTTGCATTTTTAACAAGTTCCAAGTGATGCAGATCTTGCTGTTTTGAGACCACTGGATTAAGACATGAGGAAAAGGGCAGAGCCTAGATGAACTCGCTGATGTCATGTTTATCTCCAATTTAACACGAAACATGTCAAGGTGTAACTGTCAGGCGAAGAAACATATGGTGCACCCAGACAGGGCAATTGAGGAGACTCAAATGTCTAGAGTGTATACTAGGTGATGGGAAATCAGTCAGGAGGGTAAGGAGCTCTGCTGGGGAACTGGAGAGCCCTGCTGAGCTCTCAGTAGGGAACCTTAGCCATTCAGACACTGCAGGAAGGGCTAGGTGATGCAATCCCCCAATTTCTCTGTCCTCCAGCCCTTCAAACCCCAGTCTGTCACCTGTGGGTCAAACCCAACTAGAAGCTGGAAAGTTAGGGAGTCTGTGCATGCAGCCATAAAGGTGAGCCTGGGAAGTACAAATTGAGAATGTGTAGCCCAGAGTCACAAGTGATGTAGAGGAGCTTGGGCAAACGGCAGTGGAGCAATAGATTCTACTGGGACTTTTCTTGGGAGGCAGGGGACAAGGGAAAACGGGGCAAAAGAAGCCCTGTGCTCTACCAGGAGGTAAGGAAAATGGCCACCCCCATACCAGCTTTACATGCTGCTGGGCTTGAGTGATGTAATCCAGCCCCTGGGTCTAGGGGCACACCACTCTCACCGCCAGGGCCTTTTAGGGGTCTCCAGATCCTGCTCCCAGAGACGCCTATGGTCCCGGAAGCCAAAATTGCTTAAAGCAGCCCCAGTGCACAAGGATGGGAGTTTGCTTTCTGCTTCCCACGTAGGCCAGCTTTTAACTAGCCATTTGGGCCATCACAGTACGTGGAATCAAAGAACTCGGGGAGTGTCCCGTATTGTTCCCTAAAGTCAGAACCCATTCCATAAGCAGAAAAGGACTTATTTTTTCCTAAGTCATTTGCCAACTCCTCAACCAACTCAGGGATATAGCCAAGAACACGCTCCCCACTGTCAATACAAGCAGTATATAAAATGGTTCCTACCTGGATTACAATCTTAGTGCCGTTATTTCACAGTTTATGACCTGGGGTAAGTTATTTGACTTCTGTGCTTCCCTCTTCTCATCTGTAAAATGGGAATAGTAGTAGTAACTCTCTCATTGGAATATTTAGGTCAGCACTTGATTATTCATGTATGCACTTGGACTGGCCCCTGGTCCCTATCATTATTATAAGCTAATGAATGAATGAATGAATGTGTACGCTTTGCCCACATGCCACCACTTGTTTAACACCAAGAACAACAGTAATCTTATCCTTTGTAGGGGGAAGGGGTAGAGGGACAGGCACACATTAAATCAGACAATGTACCATTTTATTCCTTATAAAATATATTTCATATTGTTGCTGTAAAAACATTACATTTCACATTTTTTTTAAAAAATTTTTAACAGTAAAAATAATACTTGGAAGACAGCTGGGGGAAAGGCGCCAATAAGACAAATTCACAGATGGGATTTACCTCCCTCTTCTCTCTCTCCTTTTTTCCTTTGTTTTTTTTTTTTCTTTCTTATTTTTTTTTTTTTTTTTCTTTTTGGCCCCTGGTAAAGTCAGAACCTGGGAGGTCCAGAAAGTAACAGGACAGATTTCTTCAAACAAATCAGAGTTTCCACAACCAAATTAATAATGTCCTCCAAGGAGTCAAGCTATAGGCTTAGAATCACAATGTGGCTATCACTCAAAACGCTCTCTGAAATTACAAACCTGCTTTCACAGCCAGCTTAAGAACCACATATATCCAAGCTATTTTCCTCACTGGTCCATCCATGAGCTTTGCGCCTGTGATCTCACTTGACCACAGACATCATTCACCAGACTCCGCACTGAATGAGCATAGGTACAGATTTAGTATCATTAAGGCTATTCCAAGCAGGCACCACAGACTCCAAAGGTAAATTCCAAGAAATACTTTGAATAGGGTTAACATCCCTGGAATACATGGGTTTCCCAACATCACTTCTTTCAAAAATCAGTCCTGTTAGTTTCAAATGCACTCCTGTGGCACCTGACCTATCAGATTCTGCTGCCCAGGTGGGCTGGGAAGCAGGGAGAGACACAAAGATGTAGAGAACAGGCAAAATTGCTGATCAGTTCACAAGCCACCCCCACCCTCCAAGAAGAACAAACGGGGCAACCCCAAGGACAGACCACATGTCAAGAACACAACAGCCACAAGATGGAGCGAGAGGGCAGAGGCTAGAGGAGGCCATCACCATGGAAAAGGAGAGAGGAGCAAATACAGATAGGGGAAAGCTGCACCAAAATAAAACATTTAAAAAAAAAAAAAAGCCACCTCAGTTTTTAAACTGTTTCATCCATTTCTTGTTTCTCCTCTTCCTTTTCTGCCCTGTGTACCAAGGACATGAGAAGCCTACCTCACTTAGAGGAAGTCTTGCTGTCCAGTTATATCGACAGGGTCCAAACTGAGGGGGAAAATGAAAACAGCTTTTCTGAAGACAAGACTCAACAAGAGCCTGATTAAGAGAGGGAAGGACGCTGCTGGGCAGAGTCCTCACGTCTCAGAAGCTCCCTCCCCTCATCAAGAAGATCTGAAGATGAACGAGGGAAGTGAGCAGTCAGGACCATCCACAACCTGCCATCAGCTTTTAATTCTCAGGGCGGCAGAAGGGACAGGAAGAAGGACACTGGGCCACCTCTTGCTGGCCTGGTTTCTAGCTTTAGGGACAGATTCCACATTTTTTTTTACTAAGTTATAAAAATATACCCCATTACCACCAAAGACACCTATGAATGAGTGTCTTTCTCTCCATCACCAAACCCGGGTCACTATCACCCTTCACAACACCATGCTTCTAAGGTTGGCGGGTTTTCTAATACTCTGTGTGTCACAGATTGACAAGCACCTGCACAAGTCCCACATGCAGTGGCCAAAGGATCCTCAGTAGGCCAGTATCTCCACCTGGGAGTAAGAGAGGATGGCCTGGTTACAGCCAGGGGACAGACGCTGCTGCCCAGCCCCAGGATAGGTGGTCTGGTGGGATTCTCGAGCCCCCGACCTCAGGGATATAAGTGCAGTACTGGGACCCCAGACAGCTGGGCACCGAGTGGCCATGCTCATGCCGGCCTGACGAACTCCCAAACAAGTCAGGCTTAAAAGAAAGGGGAGCCCCAAAACAAAACATGCCCTCCCTTGAGGTCTCAGCTTGTCTGGTCCTAGTTAAGCACTGATCGGCAGGGCCCCAAGCTCCCCATCCACATCTCCCTCATCAACAAGAATAGTTTTGCATATTTACTTCCCAAGCAATGCAATCCAGGCTGCTCTCAGTTCTTGAGGCCTCCAGAAACGAGGGCTAAAGCACTAGGAGCTGCTAACCCAACCCCTCCTCCAGAGAGTTCTTCAGAGTTAACTTTCCCCCTCCCACCTGCAGGCAAGAAATGGTGCTCAGCAGATACCTCTGAGAAGGTCACACCACATCAAACTGACCCTCCCATCTCAGGAACTGGACCAACACTGATAAAATTCCAGAGACCTCCTGCATTGATGGCAGAGTCCTGTCCTATCACATTCTCCCAGGCCCTGTGACCCAACCTAAAACTCGGGAACCTGCCAACTCGCGCTCCAACATGGGGGCAAGCTGCCACTTACCTTTCTCTCTCCTTTTTTTATTTTTCTCTCCATCCCCCACGCCAGCCCCAACTGCAGCCTTCAGAGGGAACGGGAAAATCCCAGGTAAAGCCAGAGACAAAGAGGAACCTGCACAGGGGTGGGGGTGGGGTCTCTCACCCAAATGAAAGGGAACTTGAATCAGATAAAAGGCTTCTGAATACACTGGGAAAAGAAAACAAAGTGTTTTTAAGGTGTCACCTCCATAACTGGAGGGAGGAACATCAAGAGGGAGTTTATTCACTCAGGTAACAGCAGAGGGCTTTCACGAACACTAAAACCCTCCAATGTTTCCTCAAGGAACAGAGGAAAGAATGATCAAGGTAGTGTTTAACTGCCACATTTCAAAAAGTAAATTCGTATAGCCTTTTGGCTCAGCTATTTGGGGACAGTCTTTAAAAACCTATTAGTCTGGGCTTTAAGAAGAAGCCATACAATACTTGTTGGGATGCAACCCAACTTCAGAGAGAACCCAGATTCAAACAGTTGTCATCAAGAAAGGGTTTTCCTTTTACTTCCATAGAAGCTGCTCGGTGAGGACAGGCTCTCCCTTCTCCTGGATTCGGGTGGAGAAGAGGGGCTGGCTGCACCTTAAAAAGTGCACAGATACCCCCACTATCCCCCCACCAACCACAGCAGGTCCTGCTCTCGGAGTCATCAGCCAGAAACTTTTTTTTCTTTTTTTTTTTTTTTTTTTTTAAGAAAAGTAAATTCATCTTGCTCACAGTCCCTTCTGGAAGAGTTGAGAAAGCAAAGAATTCACCAACTCAGCAGGAAAACAGAATGAGCTGTTCCTTCTTTTGATACATGCAAACTAATCCCCTAGACAGAGACGTGGGAAAGAGAGGGTAATTAATTCTTTGGTCTCTGGTTCACTGCAGAATACCCTTGGTCAGTTTCGGCTCTCTCCTATTTTAGGGGTGCGGGGGGAGTATTTTCCTTTCTTCTTTTAAAAACTCAAATGTTCCCAAAAGGGAGGGGGGAAATGTTTTACATATTAAACCTTAGC